AAAAAAACAACAAGAAGAACCTGGTTCTACACATCTGAAGAACTGAAATTCGAGGACTTATACTCAAAGTATAAGTACATAGTTTATTCCAAGCGATAAATACAGTCTACTAAAACTGCCTGAATTGTGGAAAGTGGAAGACTTGCATCCTCATTCTCGGACGATGGGTTCCTTTTCAGGGAGATGTGTATGTTAACCAAACCACCAGTCCTTCTAACTACATCTAAGATGCAGTGGACAGAAATTATATTTGCAGACCCAAACATGGTTTAGTGTCTCCTAAATTCTGAAACTGTGTCTTCTATTTCAAATAACTAGTAGCACTAAATTAACACTAACTAGGTTTCTATACATTACATCAGCAGTCTCCAACCTTTCTGGCTTTGCAGACCGGTGATGGTGAGGGAGAGGGAATAGTTCTGCATGAGAGGTGGGCAGGTGAGCATGCACGCAGCTCCATTTGCATAAGCTGTGTGCGTGTGCTCGCCTGCCCACCCACCTGCTTTCTGTACTGGCAAGCAAAACTGTGCGTGCGTGCGTGCATGCACGCACGCACTTGCCCACTGCTTTGAGGGGCTGGTTCTGACCAGGCCATAGTCCAGTTGTGGGCCGTGGTCCAGGGGTTGGGGACCCCTGGCTTAAATTGCTTGTTTAAAACAGGGGAGTTCAAGGTTTCTACCAGAAAGGCTCCTGAGCTTTATGCAAATAAAGGAAGTCAGTGGCATAATCAAGGAGAATCCATTTCTTCTCAAAGACAACAACAGAACTCAGTGCTATCACATTCGTGTTCTTGTCAAGGACAACAACATGGACAAAAGATATTGGCAATTGTGGAACGCAATCGTCTTCTAAATCTGGGATTTTCTGTCTTTAAACTTGGATGGGTAACACTGGTGTGCAATCTGGAGGCCTTTTTGGATTTACCACTCCTGTTCAAAAAGCAGGTGACAACTGTGGCCAAGGTGACCTTTGTACAGCTCCATCTGCTGTGCTAGTTGTGCCCCTTCCTAGATTGAGTGCCCCTTCAGATAGCCACTCAGGCCCTGGTCACCTCATGCCTCAAATTATTAAGCAGTTTACACGGGGTTGTGCTTGAGGTCCATCAGGAAGGTTCAACTGGTTTAGAATGCAATGGTATGGGGAGTGATGGGCCTGCCTTTGAATGCCCAGTTGACATCCGTGCCCCACAAGCTGCACTGGCTCTATCAGTTTGTTTCAAGGTGCCGATTATCATCACAAATCCCTACATGGCACAAGGTCTGGTTACCTAACTGACCACCCACCTCCCAAGGTGTGTGCTGGGCCATTATGAGCCGACAGAGTGGTCTATCAGTGCCATCTGATATCATGGTCTAGCAGTAGCTTCTATCAGCATGCAGAAAATATGATTTGCTGTCATGACACCTGCTCTCTGAAATGAGATCCCTTCTGAGATCTCTGGGGTTCCCATCCTGGTGATATTCCAGAAGGCTTTGAAGACCTGGTTTTGGGTTAGAGTGGATGGAGCCCCTTGTTGAATGTTTTTGTATGCCTTTTTATATTGAGTGCCTAAATCCCATAATTTTCTATTGCCTTTTTATCTTGCTGTTATGAGCCACCCAAACTTCGTTCTGAGTCAGGAGGGACCTAAACCAAGGTTAATCAATCTTTCTTGTAGGTCACTTTTATGCTGCCAAATGTCTCAGCTGTACTTGGAATTGGTACAATGGCCCTCAAGTACAATGGTGACATTAGAGTTCTCTAAGTTTGCATGCCCAACTATTCCCCACAAGTTTTACAGAATGATGACATTAAAATAGAAGTTTGGTATTAAGAAGCTGTGATCCTTCCCTCCTGAGAGCCATAGAGCACTTTGACCTTCTCTTATGAGAAACCAGAGAACTTAAGGATGTGCAGCATGCTGGGCTGGGGTTGCACTTGTTGTAAGTTAATGTGTCCACCAAGACTTATGAGTCCAGCTCCAAATCCTGGTTTGATTTGGAATGCAATATAGGTAACGTGAAGCCGGTAGAAATGTTCATGGCCTATAGAGCTAGTAATGCGTGGGGGCTAGTGTTTGATTTGAAAAAGGCTTATACATCCACCAAGACTTATAAGTCCAGCTCCAAATCCTGGTTTGATTTGGAATGCAATATAGGTAACGTGAAGCCGGTAGAAATGTTCATGGCCTATAGAGCTAGTAATGCGTGGGGGCTAGTGTTTGATTTGAAAAAGGCTTATACATCCTTGCTAAATAAGAAAAAAATGGCAGCTCACTTAAATAACTGCAGCAGAATAGTCCAAATGATCAGAAATAAGAATTCTGGCATCTGGTAGCTAATTTCTTTCTAACATACTCTGAGGGTCAGCTAGTCTGATTCTTCATGAGGTCTGTGTGCTATTCAGTTATTATCAAAATGATTCAAATTTTCATGGATTGTCCTTATCTAACAGCCCAGAGAAGCCACCTGGGGCCCTTGTTAAGATCCATAAAACTGTCCTGAAAAAGAGTGAAACAACTAAGGGAGATGTCAATCCAGCTGAGCTCTTAGACAAAAAACTGATTAATGGGTCTCAGTCCTGTCTCTCTATACACATTTATTGAACCCTTTCTCCAGATCCCCAAAGACTGGTCCATGTCAGTATAGTCCAAATCTTGAAGCCAGGAATGATTCAGCATTTTCCCAGTCTGCCTTTTTAAAAATCGGAGCAAATTGTGAGGCTTATTATTAAAAACTAATATTAAAAGCTGATTGATTTATTCAGGACCAAGTCCTAGCTACGGACTATGAAGTGTATCTAACTCTTTATTACGCTTGGAATCTGAGCTGTCTCCCTTTTGGCTTGCATGGGGCTTTGCCTCCATATTCTGCCATAAGCCACCCACAATTGGATACGAGATGGGTGGCAACTAAATTCCATAAATAAATTCCTACTAAAAAAAAAATATTTTGGGGGTATATACGATCTGTTGCCTTCTTGACTTTATAGGATAGATATTAATCACCTTGGGAAAAATAGAATTGAATTAGACTGGTTAAGCCTAATTAAAAGAGAATATTACTGGAAGAAGAGAAAATCAAGCAAAGCCATTATATGAACTATAGAATTATAGAAATTAATTGTTATTGATTGTTTTTTAAATATAAACACAGACAACACACTGTTTACCAAATATTAAGGTGATTATGTTAAAAATCAATAAAACATATATATATATATATATATTTTAAAAAGTCTAATTAAATCCGTCCATTCACATTTGAGCTGTCTTGTGTCCTTTTCTCTGATTTTCAGAAGGTTTGCAGCATCATCCCTTGCCATTATGATGGGAATCAAAAACAAGAATCTTTTACTCCAGCTAACTGACCAACATGCTTCTTTGCTGCCCAGGATAGTCTTCTCCCCGGTGAGTTTTAACATCACCCTTTCTGTCAGGGAGAGAGATAGCTCAGTTCAGAACTAAATATGCTCCTGCTAATTGGTACGTTAAGTCTGTTTCATGATGTATTGAATTCTCCTTTTTGCATAGATTCATGATCACACTTAAGCTCTCTGACAGAAAGGACAAAGTCAGCACTGTTTACCATATTACAAGAAACAGGACAATTACTGGCACAGGGTTTGTTTTTTAAATTTAAAGATTAACTGCAGCACAGATAAGTCATACAGTAATCTTTATGTAATCTTTGAATACTGACACAGGAAGAAGGGGACTATAGATTTGCTTGTATGCTTGTATGAATTCCACTTAGTTTCTGGCTGAAAAGTCAACTCTATGTCCTTCTATTTTTGTTATACTAAGAACTTTAAAAAAATCAACAGGATTCACAAGAAGACCTTGCTTGTCATATTTTGTCCAATGAATCATTAGAATGAATGATACACTTTAATCTCCTGTGCTGTATGTAATATATCTTTTTTCTGCATGTATGAGCTTTGCAGATCTAACACCTATAAACAGTTAAAAGGCCATTCAATCTGTTAGGTCAACCTAACTGTCTACCTAACTCATAATGATATTGTCAGAAAAATAATAATAGCAGCAATATTGACTTGACAGTGAGGACACAAATTGGGATACCCCTTCTTCTCAATGATTGTAGAGTTTTAAATTAAGATTCAGTAGTTGTCATCTGTCCCTTGCAGCTGATCATCCTACAATAATTCTTCTCTGATCGAGGGTAATATGAAGTGGATTATGCATTTCAGTTCTATTCTCCAAAGCACCTGAAGGCAAGTCAAGAAACAATAGATGGAAACTCATCAAGGAGAAAAGCAACCTAGAACTAAAGAGAAATTTCCTGACAGTGATAATTAATCAGTGGAACAACTTGCCTCCAGAAGTTGTGGGTGCTCCAACACTGGAGATTTTTAAGAAGAGATTGGACAACCATTTGCCTAAAATTGTATAGGGCAGGGGTCTTCAAACTTGGCCCTTTTATGATTTGTGGACTTCAACTCCCAGAATTCCTCAGCCAGTGTGCCTGGCTGAGGAATTCTGGGAGTTGAAGTCCACAAATCATAAAAGGGCCAAGTTTGAAGACCCCTGGTATAGGGTTTCCTGCCTGAGCAGAGGGCTGGACTAGAAGACCTCCAAAGTCCTTTCCAACTCTGTTATTCAGTTCCTTTTCAGGCTACACAATTTGTGGAAGTCAGTGGTAAAGACCAACATATTTTTGATATTGGAATCTGAATGGACTCAAGAATCAAATATACACTGTGAGCAACTTTTCCTGATTTAATCTCTCTTTAGCGATGACCATATAAATCGGGACAGAGGCATCTTCCAGACATGCAGATGTTTCTTGGTGGATAAGGACCACTCACTTATCCATTTGGATATTAATGGCTTCAAAATAAAAATATTTAGAAAAGGAGGACATTGGATTGATGAACTAGAGACACTGCTAGTCTTTTGCATTGTTATTTATATGGTACATGAGTTATGCAAAATATATTTTCATTTTGATGATGATTATGTAGCCTAAGGAAATAAAAAGGATAGCAAGAGCATTACATCTGAATAAATAAGCATCAAATTTATTGAATCATGAATAATTTAAGACTGGTACAATCATTAGCTTTATTCTCCATGACACAGGACATGGGTAAGAGAGAAGGAAGAAGGGAAGGAAACCAAAGAATGGCATGATCCAAAACAGGGCAGTTGCAAATCCCAATCCTAAATGGAAACATAAAATTAAATAGAAAGGTGTGGGAAAGGGATCATACTGTACACAAAATACTCAATTCCTAATTTTTTTTTCTCTTTTAAAAATGGCTAGAAAAAATTCATCAAAATGCAGCACTTGTAATCAATTATTTACATTTCTATGTTACAATGAAAAAATGTACATCTTAGAGAACTTTTTTTCATAAATGGTTCCACTGGAAACAACTAGATTAAAACAGTAACTTTTTGTTTAATAGCCACACTTTTTAGTTCATTTTCCTTAAAAGAGAATCGCCACATTTAGATAAAGTTCAAGACACAATATATATAAAAAAAGTATTAACAGTACAGTATTTTAGGTTGGATTTTTTGTGTGTGTGAAAAATAGACGAAAAAGGAGGCTAGCCAAACCCTCCCTGTCTCTGCATCAACTTAAAATCAAAATTGCATCCAACATGTGACATATGAGTTGCACAATTCTAGACAGTTGTGTAGCAAAGAGAAAAGAAAGTTCCAATTTCTAACTCATTGGGAATGTTGCATAGTCTTGTACTAAAACAACAAGAAATCCTGCCAGCTTTGAGCACTGGGACAGGGGGTGGGGTGGGGACAAAGCAAAACTGGAAGTAATCTGGATGACATATGTTGTCATTTTAAAAGGAAAAGGTAGACATTCACCTCAACTGAACTAGTTTAAAAAATGTGCGTAACAGGCAACCCTGTTTTCCGAAGTTTTAGAAGTTACAGTTTGTGATAACTTTTAAAAAGAAAAAAGCAATATTCCATGTGAATCATTTCTCAGTAATTCTTATTAGAGAGCGAGAAAAGTTCAAATTCTTCTTTATTTATGGCAACAGAACAGCTGGCAGCACTTCAGAATGGCTCAATTAAAGCTGTCAATAAACAAGGCTCCGAGGGGGAGTCAACTTAGCTGCCAACCTGGGTCATAACTTAGATGTCGTTTCTGTCAACCTTACAATTCCAGCAAACATTTCTTGTGCCACCTGAGGTAGCCATATATAGGCAAATCTTCAACTCAAAACCATTTCTCCAATCATTTCATCCCCATCTTTCTTTCTTTTTTAAGAAAAGAGCTTCCTTTCCTTTGAAATATTCAGCTGAACTCTTGCCCCCAGGATATGCAGCAGAGCTGGCTGGATCACGATTAATATGGAACCATTTCTTATAAAAGACATTTTGCATACGTTAAATACATTTATAGGGAGTCATGTTGTCAACGAATAAGTATCCACACATTGCATCTCTATGGAAATTGCTTGCAGTAGGAACTAGGAAAGAATACATAAGAACAAATTCTAAATATCTGTTTTCATAGATTATGATATACTTCACTCTCCTGGCAATCATACAAATGATGTAGCTAGATTGTTTGCTTATTCCACAGGCTCGTTGCCATTCTGGATCAGAATTATTGGACTTCCTGAGTGTTTCTATATACAAAGTTGCCAAATGGGCATATTGGTGCTCTCCAGGTGCATCATAGCTCCCATGTTGTGATAATTGGGACATACAGGCAGGCTCTCATTGACTTGTAATTGAACACACCCGAGAGGCTTCACTTAACTTTAGATGTAGATACGAAGAACCTATTATATTAACAACCCCAGATTTGTCTGGAATAAATAGATACAATCCCTTTTCCTAGCAGGAAATTGAGTTCCTGCAGAGATGCACCACAGAACACACATGCAATGAGTGATAGCTGCTTACAGAAAGCATTGCAGCTGGAAAGCTGATGGCCACATTGATCTTGGTATGCCCCTTGCCAAAACAGATGAGGAAATGCCTTACTATCCCTTAGGGCAGGGGTCTCCAACCTTTTGGCAACATTAAGACTGTGTGGATTTCGACTCCCAGAATTGCTGGCTAGGGAACTCTGTGAGTCAAAATCCACAAGTCTTAAAAGTTGCCAAAGTTGGAGAGTCCTGCCTTAGGCAATTTACAACAGGTCATCTTCCTTCAGTGGAATCAATCATTTCCATAGATGGCAATTTCTTTTCTAATGGGCAGTGAAGGAAAAAAAAAGCTCAGATTATATGCCATTTTAAAATACATATGCTTGAATGCTCATTTTGGACTAATCAAATCCTACAGATGGAGAGAGGCTAAGAAGAGAATGCTCTCCATGTGAACAGAAATCTTTTCCCTGCAATCCTGGAATATTTAATCAAGCATTTGGAAGTTTGCATCTCATAGTTCTTGCTAAAAAAACAGAAGGGAAGGAGGGTGCTGAAGAGCTAGATGGACCTAATACAGTATTCGGATCACTTTAGGATTATAATTTACTCTAGTCCATTTTCAGGAATCAGATTAGAATTTGCATTATTCTTTTTTTTCTATTTTGTAAAGAAAAAAAAACACTCAAGAATTCGCCCTTGATTCAACAGTTAATGCCCACTGTTATTTTGCCAAGAAAAAAAAAATTATATAATGCTAGCAAGATCACAATAAACTCAAAGGACAATGGGTTGAGTTCACTAAAAGCAGAAATCATGAGGTATAGGAAAAGCTACCCACTCGGTAAATTTGTCATGGTAGCAAAACTGTGTGTTTGTTGCATCATATTAATTCTATAAAGCCTATAAACTGTAGTAAATATTCTACCTGCATATTTTAAAACAAAGCAAAAAAAATAATTTTCTTTTAGTTGTGATGCCACTCAGTGCCACAAAAAAGATTTGCCTTTGCCTGGATTGAATAAACAACATCCAATAAAATGTTGCTAAAAAGTTGATGTAGAGATCTTAAAAAGCTGTTCCCCTCTTTTTATATGTTCTTCCTTGATTTTTGTTACATTTAAAGCCTAGGGGAATCAAATATCTCATTTCAAACAAAACCCACAGCAACTCACATCACTGTATTCCAAAAGATGACTTCTATAGCCCTGTTTTGTCTAGTTCTTTAAAAATCACAAACTACAACACTAATGGAATTAAAATACAACTGTAGAAACTCAGTAAGGCATCACTTTTAAAAAATCAGCACCCAAAGATAGCTGAAAAGGCTTGCATGTGTTTGTGTTTTGTGTGTGCGTGTGTGTTGTTGAGAACCTCCGTTCTAGTTTGAGGTATAACCTGAGACAGCTGATAATATCAGCTATTGGGTTTTTTGTTTTGTTGTTTTAAATGACACCAGTTGGTGTCCAAATTTTTGTGAATCTTCTCGCCGTTTAGCATAAGCACCAAACAGTTTTTTTTTAACCTTTCTCCTCCGTTTTCTTCTGAAATGAAGAAAAGAAAGAGGGCTCAGAGTTATGTTCTCTACTTGGCTCTTGGTTTAAAACCAAAACCCCAAAAGCTTTATGGAAATAACTTTCCTTTACTTAAGACTTGGTTAAGTAAAATGGAGTATTTTTCTTTCTTTGTTTCTTTCTTTCTTTCTTTGTTTCTTTCTTTCTTTCTTTCTTTCCTTTCTTTCTTTCTTTCTTTTTATAAAAAGAGGCTCTTTATTATTGTGAGAGATTCACCAATGTTCAGTCCCAAGTTTTGTTAACAGATGGTTGAAGTTAATTATTTATCCATAAATTCATATGTGACGACCCTGACAAGAAGATACTTATCCATATCTTCATACAAATCGATTCTGAAGAAATACTAATGCCTGGCCCTAAGGGATTGGCAAAGCAGTCCTGCCTTTTCAGAGAGCTTTGAAATTTGAACCTAAGGCACCATTTTCAGCCTTGCTGAGTGCTCAAATTAGAGGAGCCATTTTCCTACACTTTCTCCCCTACTGGCACACCTCCCCCCTCCCCAAATTTTATAAAAGCTGTTTGACTGAAAACAAAACAAGGAAATAAATCCTATGCTAGTTCCTGAACTACAGGAAATTGTCAGCCAATTTGTTGTTGGTAACTTGGGGGGGGGGACTGGGAACTTGGAGGGCTTTGGATACAATGGATCTGCAGCCCCTTTTGGTATGTTACCCTGCTCTATCTCCAACAGCGTGCAGGCTCTTCTTTCTAATAATGGATTCCTACACAGATCTTAGAGAAGTTGTGGGGCAATGAAATTTGATGTTCTCTTTTTCAGAAGGGAGAAAACCAAAGACTGCCTTGGTCTTGGGTGACCACTTAGAAAAAAGTCATGTTGTATGCTTAGAAAAGTATAATACCAAATAGCCACCACACTTTCCATTCCAGTAGTCTCTTTACTGTATTTGCAGGACATGCTTCCTAGCTGCTTTCTTCAAGTTATCGCTTCTCCCTGGTTCCATGCTAACGCCTGTGCACTCAGTGCTGTCTCTGACAAAGAACCTCCAGAGATAATTTCTGACTGCCCTTTGAATATAAAAACATTAGGGAGGGAGATCAAGGAGGGCTAAGCATGTTAGGTGGGTAGCCATTAGGTGTGGTCCTCATGTATTCTTTGTGCAGAAAGGAGGTCTATATAGGACAAGTAAAAACAGATACCATTTCCTATCATTAGAACAGCTGAATACCATTAATCTCAAGAGACTTTACACTATTCAATAAAAGCTTCCCCATGTCTCACAACAAGCCATTTAGAGCAGGGGTCTCCAACCCCTGGTCCATGGACCGGTACCAAGCCGTGACATGCCAGAAACTGTGCTGCGCAAACAAGCGAAGCCCCATCCACGGGATGCAGCCAGCATGTGAAACCACGCCCCCTCTGGTCCATGGAAAAACCTCTCTCCACGGAACTGGTCCCTGGTGCCCAAAAGGTTGGGGGGGGGCACTGATTTAGAGGAATGGAACTTCAGGAATAGATTGATATGGGATATGAGGCCATTGGGACAAAAAAGTAAGAAACTGTACAATACAGTGGAAAAATGGAATTATCTTTTTTTTTTCAATCCAGACAACTGTCTTTTCTGAGCTTTGTTGAACATTTGGTATAGTTATGAAATGATTCCAAAACCTGAATGAATGATTTGAGGAAATGACACCCCTATGTTAGGTATTTGAGGCTGGTATCCACTGAATTGTTGTGTATCCACTGAATTGTTGTGAATCCAAAGACAAAGAGACTGGACCTTTGTTTTCACTTTTTACAAAGCACTTCTTCTACTTGCAGAGAAATGTTGTTATCCAGGTCACTTCAACAGTGAGAACTCTGAAGCAAATATGAAAAGAAATTCTAGTAACTTGTTTTTGTTTTTTCTTATATGTGTTTTTCCCGGACTTTGGATCATGGCTCAAACACTCCACGATTGTTGCTTTAATTAACGCTGGCAGCTTTAGAGATGGTTTTAGAAAGATATACAGCTATTGTGCTTGGAACTATAAAAACAAATGAAATAACCAAAACAAGGGATCATGGTCTCAAGTTGCAGAAGATCTAGGTTTTACATTATATATATATGTGAATATTTTAAACTTCCCTATTTCTAATCTCTTTGCCTTTTATGGAATGTTATTACCAAGGCGAGCAATTATTACAGCACCAGAATTATTGAGGTTAGGCTGAAAAAATATGACTTGGAAAAAATCAGCCATTAAATGAGTTTGTACAGAAGCAGCATAGCTGAGATCCTCTCTCTTTTTGGATCTGATGTGGCACAATGCTTCCTAGGTTCATAACTTTGATGGTAAATGTTTTTTTTTTCATTTATTGCCTCCATCTCACTCTCCCCAGAGATTGTTATGATTAATGGAGTACACCTTATGTCAATTAAACACAATTCCCTTGCACTTCAGTTTTTCCTCTACTCGCCTCTCCTGCACCCTTGTAATGAAATTTACTCCAGATGTCCCTTTAAATATTGGAGCAGGTTTAGGGAATCAGAGATAATGGTAATCCACTTCACAAGCAGAAGTTGTTTGGTCAATGGACAGACACAACTAGATAAGCACCGTTGTTTTTATGAAAATAATGTGTTCAGTGTCGTAGGCATGTGAACTCACAGCAATGTAAACTACAAAACAAAAGAAAAACAAAAATAGTGCAGTTCTTATTAAGGAAAATGAAACGCAAGATATAAAACTTCAGCTGGGTTGCCTGCACCCATCTTTGACACTGAATGGGGGAGGCAGAGAGGGTGGAAGAGATTGTATTGTTCTCGCAGCTCTAATACTGAGATGTCCTTCTGAACCAAGGTCAATTCTCTCCATGGCTTGGTGATTCATTTTTCTAAGGGAGGCAAAGGATGGACCACTGGAAACAACCATTTCTAAGTTCTATTCATAACGTTGACTCCAGGGATGAGTCAAGGATATCATCGTGATGGCTATTGCTGTTGGAGTCACTGTCGTAACTCTGTGGACTTGAATAATTAGCTGCCTCCTGCAACCTCATCAGCATGTTCATCTGGTGAAATACAGAAAGGACAAAAAATATTACTTGACCATCATGGTTTCTTGCCTCTCTCGGGCAACTAAAGCAGACATGGATTTCATGAACGCTCTTCTGCAATTAGCAATTTGGCCTGGTCTCAGAGCCACACCAGGTCTATCTGAAGCCTTCACTGTTGGCTCTGCTCATATCACTGTGAGACCTTAAATCGGCATCCCACAGTTTGCTAGGACCTTCGCAGCAGAAGGAAAGCCTTACATTACAAATTAAAGCATATTATGCGTGCACTCATGAAGAAAGTTTCCCCTAATACTGTTATAGAGCAGGGGTGTCAAACTCAATTTCACTGAGGGCCGCATCAGCATTGCGGTTGCCCTGGGGGTGGGTGGGGTGGCCAGAGTGGGTGCAGCCTACTGAGTGGGTGTGGATGGAGTGGGTGTGGCCTACTGGGTGGGCGTGGCCAGTTCTACATCATTCACGTCAAGGGTGCCTATGGGGGCCTGGGCAGGAGTGGGACAGATCTGAGGGTCTCTGGCAGAAGGGGGTGGGATCACTGGGGCAAGTGCCAAGATGGCCACCACAAAATTGTACACTGGCTCCCAGCTGGCCTGAGCCAGGGCCAAGGCAGTGGGGGCCATTCCCTCACTGTTTCCAGGATGGCTTCGCGGGCCACATGAAAACACTTTGCGGGCCGCATCTGGCCTCAGGGCCTTGTGTTTGACATGTCTGTTATAGAGGATAAAGGGACCTGGCTTTATGACTTAGTGAGATTGTCTACCTTTTAGCAAAATCCAATCATTAATCTTTTTTGCCATCACAGACTGAGTTGCTCTACCCACAGGACAAACAAAATAGACTTAACAACTAATTCTTTTCTGGGATAGAATGGATATATTGATTTGCATTGTCATTGTGAGGATAACTCTGTGGAAAAAATAAATGCACATTGGACATCCTGGCTGAATAAACAATGAAAATCCAGTATCGTGTCAATTTCACACTGGATGATCTACGTGGTTCAATGCCATTATGACTTTTCTACTTGCCACGCAATGTCATCAATTCAGAAGAAACAGCCTGTTGTTCATTTCTAGGGCTTCAAACATTACAGCAGTTCTGTAGGAAGCCTTAGGAAATTTCAGCAATTTCTACAATGCTGCTGAGTTGTAACATAAAACAGCATCACATGCTGTATATGGACCGCCTTATTGTAGAGATAATAAAGCCGTGTTTTGTACCAAATATTCTTTCCTACAAATTTTCAATGGCAGCTGCATTATGCAATCTCCTTGCCCTTAGTTCCAGTCAATACATTTAATATAACAAACATGTAATTGTCAAGTTCTAGAGTCTGGATCAGCATTTTGGAAGGATAAATTTTAACTATTAAAGATATTTTACTAATATTTTTGCTTGAGATCAACACAGGTAGTCCTCAAGTTACAACAGTTCATTTTGTGACCATTCAAAGTTACAACAGCACTGAAAAAAGTGACTTATGACCATTTTCACACTTACAACCACGGCAGCATCCCCCATGGTCATGTGATCAAAATTCAGATGTTGTATTTATGACGGTCGCAGAGTCCCGGGGTCACGTAATCCCCTTTTGCAAACTTCTGATAAGGAAAGTCAACGTGGGAGTCAGATTCACTTAACAACCATGACACTAGCTTAACAACTGCAGTGATTTACTTAAGAACTGTGATAAGAAAGGTGGTAAAATGGGGCAAAATTCACTTAACAAATGTTTCACTTAGCAACAGTTGGGGTCAATTGTGGTCATAGGTCGAGGACTACCTGTACAAATCATAACATACAGAGCCCCACGGTAATTTCATTTCTATCCAACATAATACTAAATTCCTAGTATAAATCACACAACACGCTACACCTATTCCGAGTTTACCTTTAGAATATTTTACGAATTAATTTGGAGAAATAGCCTCGATACCTCTCAGTGTTTAATCCTTTCACCATCTAATGTATCATATATAAACAATATTATGCTGAGAATCTCACCAGAGGATCTCCTTCAGCATCACTAGGTGGAACCTGTTTGCTGGTTGAACCTTCTCGTGGCATAGAATAACCATCAAAGCCAACATCTTCTGGACGCAATTGCAACAAAGGAGGCCACTCGTGGTGTTGCGGGGTAGCTGCCCATGGATAAGTGTCCATCACCCACTTGGCAGGGTCCTCCCATGGTGCTCTTCTACCATACAACTGCAAACAACAGTACAAACCCATTCTGAATCAAGGGATTTGATATTAAACTTGTTTTTAGCCACATACGCATAGCAACACTCTCATGGTTTTTTTCATGAGTTCAACTCATGTGAGGAATCTTCCAATCTTGTGTTTATAACAATGGGAATAAGAAGAAAATAAAAGATGAGAGAGCAGTGGCCTCAACAAGGAGGTCTACCATGTACGAAAATAGTCTGACGATGTGGAGAGAAAACAAACAGAGCAGAAATGGATGTTATTGGGTTTTTAAAAATCTAAACTACTGGACTTTTTTTAAATTTTAGAAGTACCGCTATCTATATTTTTGAATCTCTCTCTTCAGTTAAAAGAAAAATGCAGGAAGCAATGCTATGTACATATTTTATACCTCCAAATCCTGAATGAAGGCTGGGATATGAACCTGATAAATGAATGAATACCTCCTATTTGGAGAAAAATACATTCATTTGAGACTGAAGAACAAATTGGCATTTTAGATCTAAGCCAGAGATGATTTAAAAAAAAAAACCCTCACAATCCAGAAAAAGAAATATTCTGCTAAAAGACACAAATACATGTGACCAAGGATGCCTATGACCTGGATTATACTCAATATTTAGGGAAGAAGATTCTCCTCTCCTACCCATATTCTTAGCAAAATGTACCTTCTACACTGACAGCACAACAAAGGTTTTGTGAGCAAATCTGTCCACTAGATGTCACCATATCTTCTGAAAGCAAATCATAAATCAGGGAAAGCCAATAAACGTACAGATCTTTTTCAGAATGCTTCTTGGGTGTTCAACAATTACTACAGGGGAGTGGGTGGGAGAAAATGTCAAGATCGCCTCTCCCAACTTGATGTCTTCTAGATGTGCTGAATTTCAAATCCCATCACCTCAACAAAAAACGAGGCCAGAGATCAACTTTGCTGATTGAGTTATATTGCAACACATCTAGAAAACAACAGCTAACAACTGAATTAAGGTAGACAACTCTTTAAAAAAAAGTTGTCTACCTTTAACTCTTCTCTTTTATTCCCCTTCCTTTGTAATGCCCATTTTGCATTATAAGCCATATTATATATTATATATTAATCTCTCTAAGGTGTTCTGCAAAAATTTGGGCTCAAGAGCTTTAATAAATATTTTAATTTTTTTTAAAAAAGATTCTTTATTCCAAAGGCAAAGGTGAACCAGGTAAGTCAAGAAGTACAACATTCAAATTCAATTTTTATGCCTCACACAGGACTGTGCAAAGCTTCAAAGGGGCCATTTCCCTCAGGCAAGGCACCTGGAAAGCTCACCTTTGAAGCTATTTCCTGCATGAAGCAGCGTAGCCCATCCACCCTACCAATTCCTAGAGCAAAGCAAAAAAAAAAAAAACGGTCCTGCGGCTTGGCTTCCCCTCACTTTGGAGGCCTCCTTCAGCAATTCCAAATAACTGGAAGCTTCTATTCATGCACATGAAGCTTGGAGAGGATGCAAAGCCTCCTGGCATGGCAAGTGGTTCAAAATGCTGCCTCTTGCATTTTTTACCCAGGGACATTTATCTTAAACTTTATCTTCCCTTCATGCCTGAAAAAAAAACCAAACCGTTCTGGAAATGATTTGTTGCTACTCTGGATGTTGCCAAATTCACTTCTGCGTGATCAGGTGGTTTATTCTTGTTACAAGTAGCAATGAAAGAAGTGAATTTTGGATGTCTCTAATTCAGTCTCAGGTATAAAGAATGTGCAGAAGGGATTTCTGGTGCAGCTCTATCTATCCAATACATAATTTAATTGGGACTTCTACTCCCTGAATACAGGTTAGGAATTCCAGGATCTTCAGCATGGCTGGATCACACTAGCTGAGAAATACCACATTGGAGGATTGTTCCAGAGTTGAAGTAAAACTGAGGAGTTAAATCTAATCTCACTTTATAGTTTGAGCAAATCCTTCTCTCTCAGTCCAACCTACTCACAATGTTGTTATTGTGGGGATAAAACCACTGGAAACATTTCTGTCTTGAGGCTATTTCACATAATGCTAAGAAGTGAAAGTGGTCTTGGACTGCAAAAACTCCAGTAGTTCATCTTAGGTTCCTGTAAGTGAATGTATGTGCTTAAAGACAAATGTTTGATACAATCACAGTTTACATTGTTTGGCATGCAGTTAAACCAGTGGTAGGCAACCTTGGCTCTTTTATGACTCGTGGACTTCAACTCCCAGAATTCCTGAGCCAGCCATGCTGAGGCGAAAGGGAGAGGTTTCCATGCTGAGCCAAGCTGAGTTGAAGTCCACGAGTCATAAAAGAGCCAAGGTTGCCTACCCCTGAGTTAAACCTTTTTCAATAAATCTCTAAAGAATGGAATATGCAAAGAGATTCTACGACCTGCTGAACAACCTGTTCATTATACTCAGAGACAGATAGACAAGCATGATGCATGTCAAAGCTGTTGCTATGTTACGTCTGAAATAGATATTCATGCAAATATTGAAAATTAAACTCAAGCACTCACAGACTTTTATTGCTTAGAAATAGTGAAAGGCATTAGTTTCCACTCAATTCCTCTATAATCAGAATAATATATAGTTTATTAATGTGCATGTCAATATTTAATATGTCATGAACTAGTTTCTGAATCATGGTAAATTAAAATTACAATTTTCTCTTGACCCATCTCTTCCCATTACTAGTTTTCTGTCTGATAATTGCAAGGTGGTAAATATATCTATGTATTAGAAATATATTTCTACATGAATATTTGGATTAGATAGCTATATAGAGAATTGTAACTATTTACAGCTAAAATATATAGTATATATTTTTCTTTTTCTTTTGTTGTAAACGCTTTCTATGTGTTTTTGTTTCAGAATAAATTTATTTAAGATTGAATATGACACAAGGGTGGAGAGATAATGGCACTTTTCAGGAGCTGATGAATAACCAAGTTGGAGCCCAAGTCAAATGTTTAATTTAACTTTCCAATTTTCCAGAAAAATTCAAACTGGAGCAAGTGGGGGCTATTACAATGGCCTGTTCATGGCTCAAAGTAGAATACCCCATGACAAAGGCTATGCTATATTCTTTCCACAGTGATATACCCAAGGAGTCACTGAGCAGAAAGAAAAAAGGGCAGGTCCTGTTCGTCATTTCAAAGTCATAAGAAGTGTTTATAAACATTAAAACCCTTGAGAAAAAGAGAGAATTGCCAAATTGAAATGAGTGCCAAATGTAATATTTCTTCATTTGATAGTACTACAGAGGAAAGTCTCTGCAGCACACAGAGAACCAGCTTTTTGCATCAGGATTAACACCCTGTTGTTGATGCAACCTGACCTCAACAAAACAAATATTCCCATTATGGAAAGAGAAGTCTGCCCTAGGGCACTTTTTTTGAAAACTTCAGTTGTTCTGAGCATGGTTCCCTGTGTTGATGCAACTTGAATGCCTCCAGTGGGGTGGTTTTATATGTCTATCCTTTGGACAACTGTGCTAACAATAGTTAGCACAGTTGTCTGCATTTACTTCCATTTCAGTAGCAGGGAACATAGGGCCTTATTCCATCCACCTGAAGAGGAAGGCATCAGCATGCTCAGATATGCAGGAGTCCAAAATGAAATTTCTGGAGAACAGCCCGTTAAAAGGGAAATACCTTCTTAAAATGGGCTAATGAGAACTGGGAACAATTACAAATCAAAAACACCAAGTTCGTCTATGATTATTGAGGTCATAGACCAAGAATAATTACCTGTGAGGAGCACATGGCCTTAAATAGCAATAGCACTTATATATCACTTTATGGCGCTTTATAGCACTCTTTAAGCAGTCTACAGAGTCAACATATTGTCCCCTGCAAACTGGGTCCTCATTTTACTGACCTCGGAAGGATGCAAAGCTGAGCCAAGCTTGAGCCGGTCAGGATTGAACTCCTCACTGTGGGCAGAGTTAGCCTGCAATGTTGCATTCTAATCACTGCGCCACCAGGCGCAGTGGTTAAATAAGTGAATGAATAAATAAATAAATAAATCTGAATTGCAGGCCACTTAAGCAGGGCTGATATTTTCAATTCCACTTGGGAGAAAAATGGGAGGTTTTAAAGGTAAAAGACAACTCTTGTTGAGACATAGCAATCCTTAAAAAAAAAAAACCAACCTCCAAAATTGGGGTGATTCTTAGCATTTTGGCAAGTTTAAAAGGAAAAAAATCAGTGCCTTAAGCATCAGCAATGATTTTTCCCCCTTAATGCTAAACAAAATATGGAAAAATAGATCCAAAAATGTTGACTTTGTTGCCTCTTGGGACATTTGTGGCTGTTTTCAGAAAGGGCACAAAAATAAAGTGTGGTCCCATGCCTGTTATCCAGGGATTTCAGGATTTTGCAAGGTCCTGTCTGACCACAACCAGCCTGCATTTGTGCACCTCTGCTGCATTTGTCATATTTATATCCCAGTTTTTGTAAACTGTGCTTACCTGTAACCCTTCTCTGACAGCCTCAAGAAGATAGGGAACAATGGAATAGTTCCATAAGTCAGTAAACCAAACCCTTGACCCATCCACATCGAGAGGGCAAGAGAGAAACAGGCGTGGACCTGTGAAAATCAAGAAAAATGTAAATTGATCATTTTCAGTAAGGAGGAACTGATGCATTTATTTTAACCATAACATCATGCAACAACAACAGAAATAAAAAAAATAAGACAGATAAGGAAAAAATTATTACAATAGAGTACATTAGTTGTAAGAAATAAACCATTTACATGTATTTATACTAAGCAGGAATTTATCATCAAACATATTGTTTGCGGCATCTTGGATGATGAACATTTAAAAGTGAGTTTTTCTCTGTATAATCAGATAATTTAGATTATATAATTATCAGATTATAATAATCAGATGACCTCTAATTTTCTATGAAAAGAGCTATTAACGTTTTCTGTTCACAAGAAGTCTATGGAAGATTAGGACACTTATTTATTTATTCATCAAATTGTATGGCTGCCCATCTCACTGTAGTGATACCTGCAGCTAACCACAGCTAAAAAAAATAGCAAATAAAATGTATAACTGGCAGCCAAAATAAAAACTAGTCAGCCAGCTATTATAGTAACCATCTCACAAACTGTAACTCGCAATCCAATCTCTATGTACAACTCTCTCTTGAGGAGGTTGTGATACTCAGCAGGATGGGGCCATCTAATCTCCAAAGGAATCATGTTCCAAAGGCAGGACCCTGACAGAAAAAGATCACTTTTTGGGTCCCACCCAATGATACGCCTTAATTGTTGGGACTACAGCTTCCCTGTTCCATCAGATCCAACAGGACAGGAAGAAATGATTGGAGAGAAGCCACCTTGCAAATAATCCGGGCATAAAGAGTTTTAAATTTCTCACCGATAGTAACATCTGAAGAACTGTGAGCTTCCAAGAACTTGTTGAGATGTTGCCAAACCTTGGGAATCCAGTCTACAATCTTAATTAATTCTGCATTTCTCACCCGGCCCCCAATTTCTGTTTCAATGAGTTTTCTTCTCAAGAATCGGGCAAGAAAGCCCTTGACTGGCTCAGTATGATTGGCACATAGTACCCATCTAAAGTTGTGGTGCAGCTGAAGGTTAGGAGTGGAGGAAGTGGCTTGGTTCATTGTTCCAATGATGTAAGGGCTGTAGGGAAAAGATTAGCCAGCATTTATTTTTAGAAAATCTTTTTTAAAAAAATTTGCATTATCATCCCATGTGCTTTTTTTTTTTTTTTTTTTTGCTTCCTACTCATAATCTGTGAATAGATTCTGTCCCAGGGTTATTGTGATGCTCTTCCATGCTAGCTGAATTTCCGGGATGCTTTAGAATATTTTATTTACTCTTCAGGGAGACAGTCAGTTAAATCTTTGAAAAAACATTTTAAAAATAGTGAGAGAAAAATTAAAATGTACAGATTTAAAAGAGGAGGGTTTCTGAAAAGGAAAGTGCTCAGAATGTGAACCAAAAAATTTGAGTAATGAAAACCTGAATGAAATCTAGAACAGTCTTCCTGTCAAGCACAGGAAATCGGGAGTCAAGGTGGCTCACATGAATACAGGTTTATTGCATGCTAACACTCTCTACAAGAATCTGAACTCCTAATGGTCAAAGCAAATTGGCAGCAGGTAAGAGTTAATGGAATTCAAGGAGGGCTGGGCTTAGATCTCTTGTGGGTATGAAGAGACTTGAGACTGATGACATACTTGACCTCTCCCCTGGACTCAGCCTGGTCATCTGCACTTCCCTAACCTACTGCCCTTTGGATGTACTGCTCATGGTAGAATTCAGAATCTACCTGAAAGGTACAGTATTTGGTGAAGGGTGTAGAGCAGGGGATGGACAGCTATTTTCAAATTACTCCAGCCATTATGTGCTATAAATGAAAAAAGGGCTGGCTTTTTAAAAAGAAAAGACAAACATTGGCAGAACTCTGCAGAAAAAGGCTGGTTTTCCATCTCTCCCAAAGCTTCTGTTAATATTGAATCTTTAAGAAGCTGGAGAAGTCTGTATAATCAAAGCATGGGAATATTTGTTTTAGGGATCTCCTGGTTTTGTAGACACAGATAAAATGAAAAGCCAGGGATTTACCTTAGATTTTTTTTTATTTCTGTTTGCTGTGTAGTCATGTCCTTTATGTCTATCGGTTATAGAATGTAGCGCTTTACGTCAAATCTCAGGGTATGTTCGTGAAAATAATTCATGTATAATTTGAATCAATCTTCAGTCAAACCTTTGGTTGCAGGATTTATAATTTATTTTTACTGATTTAGACTATATTCAGATAGAAACCCTGCACCTTACGTAAGAGAAATGCTTACTTCTGAGTAGCAGTTGAACTAAAATCAATAATATTTTACTAAGATTTATTTAAATAAAAAAATACTCTCTTTGTGGGCACTGAAGTCAGTTAAACAAATGTTCCCAGAATATGTTTGTCGGTAGAGAAAGAGACTTTCCGCTATGAAAGGCAAAGGCAAAACAATGCTGTTACCATTTGTGGTACTTGCAGTTCAAAAGCCCATTGAAGATCTCTCCTAGAGAGCTGACATGATGTAAATTGTCCAGGATGATTACAAGTGGCATCTCCACTGCATTATTTTCACTGCTACATTGGTCTGCAAGGTTGGAGAGGTATTGTCGGAGTTCCTGTAAAAAGGAAAAAAAAATGCAATCAGAAAAAAAAAACTGGCTTGCAATTATGTTTTGGAAATCTTGGGAGGGAAGGAAGGCTGTTTGGTTCAATTCTAAAACGTTTTTTTGGGAAAAATCTAGTAGTAACCCCACAGCAACTTAGTTCTTTAAAATGTATTTTGAATAAACTCTATAAATAATTCTTCAGGCAAGCTGGTTTTCTAGCCTGAGATAAGTGTTCTTTTGCTTAATCCTCAAATAGTGATTCTCAAAGCATGTAATTTAGTGATAGGTCTACTTTGATCTTAGATCTGAATAGGATATTTAGAATAGTGTCTAAAGCCAGGAGTAGAACAGGGCCTATGAAAAGCAGCAATTATGAAAATTTGGCATTATATGCTTGGATAAGGAAGAAGACAAAAAAGGAAGTAGCACTGACAGGCTTGGAATTCCTAAAGGATTAAGACACCAGTCAAGACATTCCATTTCCAGGAATGCCATTGTATGGGTGGATTTTGTATAGTACAAATTATCATTACAGGAGACAGAAGAGGAAATCCGAAAAGGCATTAATTAGTAACCAAATACTATTTCTCATTATACAGAAGGATCCCTCTTCCCGGTCCCTAGGGCATATCAGAAATCATATCAATCTACTATTCAAGCAAAGTGTCTAATATGTCTCCATTCTTGGTAAAGTACAAGAACTCATTTCCTATGAAATGTTTGCTCTGGAAGATAAATTATTTATGAACAGAAACAATATTCATGCATGGAGGCAAATTTACGTGCCCCAGGATAAAATTTCTGGATCCCATCTGGGTCAGTCACTGGGACCAGAGGTTTAATCTTCCAAGCTTTCTTATTCAAGTCCACAAGCTTGGAAGAGTAAAACTCTGGTCTCTGTGATCAACACAGGTTGGATCCAGAAGCAATATTTTCACCAACAGAGTATCCGTAACACTCACCTTACTGGACTTGTGATCCACATTAAAGGTTGCAATAGCACCATCAGCCAGCTCCCTGCCCTCTCTAAGCACCATATACTCAGATAGGCGATTGGCTAAGTAGGTCTTTCCAGTGCCGCTCGGACCAGACAAAATGATTCTCCGATGCTCTATCAAGAGTGACACGTAACGCTGTAGAATTGGCTTTGGGATTAGAGACTCAAATACCAGACCATCCAAACTATTCTCTACAAGACCTGTAGTATTAGAAAAAAACACACAATTTAAACCTTTTTCTTCTTGTTGTTGTTTTTAAATGTATTACGTCACTTGCACAAGAGAGAAGTGGTACTACTTGATATGTACTATCTTTGGACTTCCCCATCCTCAAGCTCTTTAATTTTCAATTTTTATTAACTTTGATACTCCTAATAATTCTCAAAGAATGTTCCTTTTTACAAAAAAGAAATGACTTCTACATAGAATGGAATAGAAAAAGGAAGATAATGCAGTACAATGGGGTCCAGTGGAACAGATTCTAATCAGTATCAACATTTTGCAATAAAGGACTTCAAAAATCTGCCACCTTGTAAGCTAGTGAATTAAAAACATGCCATACATGATTTTTCAAAGGGAAAATAAAATAAAAAAATCTAGGTCTGACTAATGAAATAAGTAGTGCATTTCTGTTCTCAACGTCAAGCTTCCCGTAGAGTTTTGAAACAATAAATACAATCCTGATGTGCACATTGAGGTGATTTCAAGAGAAAAAATGAATGCGCACATTGTTTCATGAATGTATAAATGTATAAATCAAAAGTATCTATATAGGTCAGGCATGTCAAACTCGCGACGTCACATGATGTTGTGTGCAGTTTTGGCATGATGCATCTGGCTCCTGGGCTGGCAGTTTGACATGCCTGATATAAGTCTTTGTACACTGATAATAATCAAGTGATCTTGGAAAGCATGATCTGATCAGATACACTTTGTACTTCTCCATTCATTTTTTTTAACTTATTCCAAAATTAATCAAAGTTATCTCTGAGAGATAAATATTTTGACTAACAAATGTATGTGTCATGATTACTGGCCTAATCCATTTCTAAACATTCTCTATTCCTGTGATGACTAGGCATACTGCTTATGTATATCAGAATATTCTACCATCTAACAGATTGTAGATTTCCCTATCAATGTGTAACACTAACTTGAGTTGCAGCATACTTTCCTTAAAGAGCATTTTTAATTTCAGCAGACAAAATATTTCACCATCACTCTTCATGCAAAATACAAAGGCAAATTCTTGAATGAATGGGGCGTTGTCTTACCTAAACGCCTTTTCTCAGCAGGATGATGTAGAGTCCAATGAATGAATGAATGGATGGGTTCTATGACAGCCTTCCTGCCCGGCAGACTGGGTAAAAACTTTGGCCACACCCTTCCCTTGGGCGTGACCCCAGTTTTGACTGAGGCGAGAACCTTTGTTGGAATTGATATGGTAGCTCCTTGTCCAAACCCTGCCTAGACCTAATACCTGGGGGGGCTTGGACTCTACATCATCCTGCTGAGAAAAGGCGTTCAGGTAAGACAACGCCCCTTCTCCAGCAAGATGGCTGTAGAGTCCAATGGATGGGACATACCAAAGCCCTCATGTCCCCCTGGGAGGGAGTGTCTAGGCCACTGAATCCTGAGCAGATACGACTTGCTGTAGCACTCTTCTACTAAAGGCAGCATCCGCTGCAGCAAAGTAGTATAAACTGTAATGCCTAATGAATACAGAAGGAGAAGACCAAGTTGCGGCCTTGCAAATCTCTTCCACCGATGCTTGTGTTGACCACGCCGCAGATGTGGCTGCGCTGCGTGTTGAATGGGCAGTCACGTGTGTGGGTACTGGAAGTGCCTGCGAGACGTAGGCTTGGGCTATACAGGCTCTGATCCACCTACCTATGGTAGAAGATGACACCTTCTTTCCCATAGTTGATGGTTGGAAGGAAACAAATAATGCTTCCGTTTTACGGAAGGACAAAGTGCGCTTTACGTAGAAGCACAGCGCTCTACGTACATCCAGCTTGTGCCATGTATGCTCTAGTCTATGTCTGGGTTTTGGGCAGAAATCAGAAAGAATCAGTTCCTGAGATCTGTGGAAGATACTGTTTACCTTCGGAATGAAAGCAGGATCTGGTCTAAGAACCACCTTATGCTTGAAGAAGGTACAGAGATCCTTCCTCACTGACAGTGCTGCTAGTTCCGAAATTCTTCTTGCTGAGGTGATAGCCACTAGAAAGGCCACCTTTAGCGATAGGTGATGAAGAGAACATGAGTCAAGAGGCTGATGTCAAAGCATGAAGAACTTTAGGCAAGTTCCAAGATGGGTACCTGTGTATAACAGGAGGTTTAGTGTTGGCCGCCCCTTTCAAAAAGGCGCTAATCGCTGGATGTTGCGCCAGAGAGGTTGAGTTGTCACAGGAAAGTACAGTTGAAAGGGCCGATACCTGTCTACGAATGGTGTTGACTGATAGACCCTTATTAAGTCCTTCCAATAGGTAATCTAGGATATTGGGAATAGATACTGCGGTTGGATCTAGGTGAAGCAGAGCGCACCACCTGCAAAAAACTTTTCATGTAGCATCGTAGATCCTGTTTGTGGAAGGTCGTCTTGATGCTTGTATGATCGATATCACCCCAGAGGAATAGGCTTGTTTGGCTAAACTTTGCCGCTCAAATGCCAAACGGCTAATTGTAGCCACTGCGGATCTGGATGCAAAAGTTTGCCCTGACTGAGAACTACTCGGTCCGGGGGAATCCTCCATGGGGGTGATATCGAAAGATCCATGAGATCGACAAACCATGGGCGCCGTGGCCAATGTGGAGCAATCAAGATTACTTCTGCACCTTCCAGGATCAACTTGCGTATGGTCTCCGGTATTAATGGCAGCGGTGGAAAAGCGTACAGGAGTAGCGCCGGCCACCGACACCTGAGAGCGTCCGTTCCCTCCGATCCCGGAGTCGGGAATCTGGAGAAGAACCTGGGGAGTTGTGTGTTCTTCGGAGTGGTGAAGAGGTCCAGATGCATCTGTCCGAACCTCCGGGAAATCTCCTCGAACAGAGCTGTATCCAGTTGCCATTCCGACTGGTCCACCTTAGCTCTGCTCAGGAAGTCTGCCTGGAGATTCGTTTCCCCTGAGATGTGCTCCGCTCTGATGGAGCTCACATTTGTTTCTGCCCACCGGGCCAGAGCTGATGCCTCCTTCATTAGTTCCACGGATCGCGTTCCTCCCTCCTTGTTGACATGGGCCTTGGCTGCTACGTTGTCTGTTAGAACGAGAATGTGTCTTCTCGTTACTAGGTGGGAGAATTGACATAGAGCCAGATGAATGGCTCGAAGCTCCAGCCAATTGATGCTGTGAGAAAGGTCCTTCTGATCCCACTGGCCCTGCGCTATCTGGGTTCCCAGATGGGCTCCCCATCCGAATAGGCTCGCATCTGTCGTGAGCGTGATCCTGTTCGGCTCCCTGAATATACTCCCCTTGAGTATCATGGGAGATATCCACCAATTCAGTGATCTCAGTACATGTTCTGGTACCAAGACCTTCCTGCTGGAGGTACTGAGGTTCCTCCTCTGGTAGGGGAGGAGGAACCACTGCAACTCCCTTGAGTGGAGTCTTGCCCATGGGACAATGCCCATGCAAGATATCATCTTTCCCAGGAGCTTCGAGAGCTGTATCAGAGGTACTCTCCTGTTTCTCTGAATTTGGTGAACTAGCTTGGAGATGCTGGTCTGACGCTCCTGGGAAAGATATACCCTGCACTGGGATGAGTCTATCACCATACCTAGGTGCTGCAGTTTCCTTGAGGGAGTGAGATGGCTCTTGTCTATATTGACCGAGAATTCTTGCTCTTGTAGGATGCGGATTGTGGTCTGGAGGTCTACCTTTGCTTGCTCCTGCGAGCTGGACTGAATCAAGATGTCGTCCAGATAAAACTGTATGCGCACCGGCATCAGCCTGAGATGGGCCGCTATTCCTGCTAGAATTTTGGTAAATATCCTTGGGGCTGAGGATAGACCGAAGGGTAGAGCCCTGTATTGGTAATACCAGCCCGCGTAGGTAAATCTGAGGAATTTCCGGTATTTGGGATGGATGGGGATATGCAGGTATGCCTCCGTGAGATCTATTGAGGACAGGAGGTCGCCCTTCCTGACACTAGCTAGGATTGATTTCAAGGACTGCATTTTGAACCTCCTGTAATTCATGTAATAATTCAGGCCCTTTAGGTCCAATATTGCTCTCCACCCTCCTGATGTCTTTGGGATCACAAAGAGGATGGAATAAAATCCTCTTCCTTCCTCTCCTCTTGGTACCTTCTCTATGGCCTGAATTGACAGGAGGTGTGCTATGGCCGAGGTTACCAACCTTGCCTTGTGTGCCTTTCGGGAGATGGGACATCTGATGAACCGGTTTGGTGGGGGAGAACAAAAGTCTAAGGTCAGGCCATGCCTGATCGTCTCCAAGACCCAGGCGTCGGTGGTGGTCTGCTCTCAGACCTCGATGAAATTGGCTAACCAACCTCCTATGGGAGTGTCCTGCCTGGCGTCACTTGGCGCGTTTAAAGGGTCGGCCTCCCGATCCTCTAAAGGGATGCCTGGACTGGAACTGGCCTCTGGCTCCCATGTTTTGGCGATCCTGGGGACGATCCTGCCTCGAGTAGAAGGATCGTGAGCCTCTAGGCCAGTCCCAGGATTGCCCTGATCGAAAGGGCTGTCTCCATTCCCAGGAGTTGTTTGGGCGGAAACTTTGCCTCCAGAATTCCTGACTGCCTCTTCTGTCTAATTTCTTTGATGGATGGACTAGAATTTTTCTCTTATCCCTGCTCTCGCTTACATGTGGATCCAGGATGGATCCAAATAATAATGACCCACTGTACTTGGATGTTGAAAGACGCCACTTGGCCTTCAGATCTCTCTTCCAATTTTTGAGCCACAGCAGTCTACGAGAGGCCACTGTGGCCGCAATGGATTTTGCTGCATACTTGGTTGCGTGCAGTGAAGCCTCAGCCATAAATTGTGAGGCCGCCAGTATCTTGGCCAAAGTTTGGTGCGCTCTGACCTGATCTGGAGGTACAGTGGTTTGCAGCTCTCGCAGCCACATGATACAGGCCCTTGCGAAGAAGGATGATGATGTTGCTGCCTTGGCCGCCCAAGCTGTGGCCATGTGGGAACGACGGAGGGAATGCTCAAATTTCTTTTCCTCTGGTT